TGGAGAGGCCTGTTTATTACAGTATTCCTTGTAACAGCTAAAAAGTCTTTTGGTCTCCTGCTATACGTGGGAATCTAATCGTACTCCCAAACAGTGCTTCGAAGTCCAGAAGCACAATTTGGTTAGCCTCCCTTGTCAGAGTTACTACGCTGTATCCAAATTATAACTGGGTAAATGTCTTTGACATTTCTCTTTCATTGGAGAATGGATTCATTTCACACATTCTGGTCAAATTTGCCAAATTGTTTCAATTTTGCAGAGATTTTTCAACTGAAAACATTTCCAAAATAGCAACATTTTGAACTTTAAAAAATCCAAACTTTTTTCCCACTTTTCAGTTCGCTGAAACAAAAATTGATTTAACCCTAAATATTTGTTTTCAATGGCCAGGAACCCTTAATTGACTATTCATACAGTTCTGATCCCAACTGCTACATTGTAGACCATATAGAATAGAAAGGACCTAGCAGAGGTCATATTTGAAATGCTCTTCTTGAAGGTCACCTTCTTTCTCTTTATTTGGTAATGTTTGCCTGCTGTTGTCAGTCTTTTTAATATGGATTTTGGGGGGATTTGTAGGCAAATAAAAAAATTTGCCCACGCTGCCAAGAACTATTGTCCACACCTGGTTGGTTGGTTGATTGGCTAATGGCCCAATGCTTCAGTCTTATACTCTAGAATCTTATTTTAGAATATGCTGTTTTTAAACAAACCAACCAAAGTATCTGGCACCTTGTTGTTCTTTGCAGGTGGCTAGTATAGGTTGTATAGGTTAATTTCAGAGGATCACTCACACTCACGGGTTACGCTCCGAACACCTGTTCGTAACTCGATTTGGTCGGAAATACTCTTAAATGTGCTGCCCATGCTGTTTGGAAAAACTTGACATACATGGTTCTCAACTCAAAAATACTGTAATGGAGTTAATGGGAGGTTGATCTTAAGTATGGATGGTGGTAAGTCAGTGTGTTCATAAGTTGGGGAGTGGCTGTATAAAAATGTTTTTCCTGCCAGGCAACAGAATGACATAATCCCACCCTCATGCGCTCTGATCTCATCATGTTCTCTGGCTGCAAAAGCCGCCAGAGGGGGTTGGCAAGCATGGGGTGCAGCCCATTAGTGTATTTTTTATTTTACTCATTCATTTTGTCCTATCATAGACCTGTCTGTATGCCATATTGACTAAGTGCCTTCTTTCTACATAACTTTGGTTTTGCATGTTGGAAGTATTTGTAGGGCCAAAGCTTAATTACTATTCCCTGTCCTTTTCACCCTTACAGGTCATGGCAAACTCGCCAGCATGCCAGTTGGTGGAGCTGTAGCAGTCTCAGCTGCTGCAGGTTCTGCTGCTCCTGCTGCTAGCGCTGCTCCTGCTGCTGGTGAGTATACTTCTATAGTGCATAGAAACTAAGGGGAAAATAGAGGGACTCCATTTTATACATTAATCTTAGTGCCTTAATCCCATCATTTAAATTTAGGGTACTTTTTACTGTTCTTTGGTGGCTTGTTATTAACTAACCTGGTTTTAATGCTAAAATACTTTTTTCCTTTTACTGTTCTTTGGTGCCTTGTTATTAACTAACCTGGTTTTAATGCTAAAGGCTATCTCTGAGCTGTACCAGGGAATGAACTGTTAAGATGGTATGCATAGAAGATGCCACCAGTAAGTGGTGTTCACAGTTGATTGCTCCTCACCTTCATTAATTTGTTCTGAAAGGGGTGTATGTATTCATGAGGAGAGCACGTTTTGGGATTTCCTCATACTCGCAATGTCCAAAATGTACTGTAAATAATCCCAGATGAGAGTGAACATTGTTTACATTTCTTCTCTCTGCAGCTGAGGAGAAGAAAGAAGAGAAGAAAGAGGAGTCTGAGGAATCGGATGATGACATGGGATTTGGCCTATTTGACTAAACTTTGCTACAGAAGTTATTAAATCTTTTTGTTTAAAATGGATTTTGCAGGGGGATTTTTTTGGCTATAATAATCCTACTGCCATTGGAACTTTTCTCATCTAAGAACAGTGATCTGGAATTGGGCTTTGTTTAAAGGAAAACAAATGTTAACTAGCCTCGTTGATTCTGCAGGTGAAGCTATTGAGACTTATGCTCCTAAATCACTTAGACACAATTGAAAATCCACCCTGACTTACCTAAATGTGCACTTGGTGCTAAATCATGTTGTGAAACCCAATGGAAAGGAAATCAGAATTAGCTTGTAAATTCTACTGCATCTCCTCAAAGTTTACTCTCATAAATGACTACATTCTGTTAAATGGCCAAAACTGCCCAGGTTTCTTTGCCAAATTAGTTCTTATTCATATTGCCTACAATGCTGTCAGTAACACGTTCTGTCAGGATTTCACTTTCTTCTCCAAAAGCAGCACTCAACTTCATCAAACTTGCAAACCCACAATCTTAAATCACTTCACAGCTTTGATATCAATTATATTAGCAGTTCTTAACAGTGGTCCATGACCCCATTTTAATGGAATCACCAGAATTGGCCTGGATTTGCTGGGCTGCAGAGACTCAAGCATCAGTCTCCTTCTGGTCG